AAGTCGAGAAGATTTCCCTTGTCGAGCTCAGCTTGTCGGATTACTCGTCGCTGAAGCAGCGCCTTCCGGCGCTCATTGAATGTGCGGTGGAGAAGCGCAAGGAAGACACAGGCGTCCTTGCTGAGGATGTGACGGTTCTGGTCGTTGAGGTCGCCGAGGATGTTGACCTCCCGCAGGATACTATCGGCGCTAGCTGCCATTGTGAAAGATGTAAATGTCTGATACAATTGATGGATATGTTCAAGTACTCAAGGTACGAAGGGAGGAATGCAATGGGGTATGCAGCGTGCGGAGAGGGCAGGGCGGTCGGCAGATGATATATTCATGATACAGACGTCACCCATCTTGACGTCTGGGCCGAGGATCTTCTGGGTCGGCAGACTGATGCAGGCTAGTCGGCTGGCCGTGAATGGTAAACGCCAGGCCCACGTTCGGGGGAGGGGAGCTCCAAGCTTGTGACGGTGCCAAGTCCGGAGCTGAGATGCGGGGATAACCCAGCCCGTTAGCACTAACTCGCCCGATCAGCACAGCAAACCCTGAGCAACAGTGGGCTAGAAGACGAGTAGACGCGAATTATCGCTGCGCAGTATCGCCGTAGTAATGATTTTCAGAGGGATTCGTGGATATCTGGGGCTGCTGACGGAGTGCGCCGGCAACTGACGGAAGTCGCGATGCTGATGCGTGATAGCAAGCGCGTCCCCGATAGCTTCGCCGGCCACTTCCGATGGCGCGTACAACGAAGAGTGCGCATTCTGACCACGGCACTTCTACGAGATCCTGCAGTCGCGCAACGTTCTTATGATTCTCAGTCATGTCCAGCAGCAATGAGCGATGTCGATCACCGAGCGAAGACGTCAACCGATCGTCATCCTTCCACGGCGAGCAGCACGGGAATAAGGTCACCATGATGCATCGTAAGGCCATGCAAAGCACAAACTGTAGCTGTGTCGCCTGAGAACATGCGACGATATCTTACCACGCTATCCCGCATCTACGAGTGAAGAGGTTACCATACCCTTACACGCACGACTTGGGGGCGAAGTTGAGGTTTGTAAGCATGTTGAGGTTTGGATTGGCATTTCATCTCGCGGACGGCTCTTTAGCATACTTTGACTAATCCATTGCACAGGTATACTAGCTACGGGAATCCTGTCACCTCTATCATCCCTTCCAAGCTCTCATCTCCCAACCTCTATAGCTTCTTTGGGGTAATCGCAAAAGGTTTCGCCTCGCCCTTCAAGCCAAAGCTGCAGACTCCACTTCCACCACATGAACCAGCGAGGTTCTGGCCGCCCGTGAAGTAACCTTCCGCTTCGTACGTCGCCGTGTATTGCGCACCCTGGTACTTGACGTCGGCTACGTGGGTAAACTTCAGGGTGAAGTCGCGAGTTCCGAAACCATCACTTCCCTCCAGGACATTCATGACCCAATAGCCATCGGATGTGCCATCGCACGGCCAAGTCCGGTCTAGGGGATTCTCGCCCTTAGTATACCATTGCGCTTTGCAATTCTAGGGACACGTCAGCAAATGTACTGGAGTAAGAGACAGGAAAGTTGAGACGTACGAGTCCTTGACTTCCAGCTGGCGCGGTGACGGTGGTATTATCGAATTCTGCAGGACCAAGATCGATCACGTTGGGGTCTGTCACGTCGGCTGTGATGGAAGCCCATGGGTAGCTACCAGGGCGTCCCGACGGCGTGTAGACATTCACCCTGGTGATTTGCCAGTCCTGAAGCGCACTCTGACGGGCCGCCAGAGGTGATGCAGTGGCTGAAGACGTGATTGCCAGAATGGCAGCGAAAGCGGTTTGTGTGAAGTGCATGATGAAGATTGGTTCGAAGTACTTGTTGGTACCTTAGGGATGGGATCTTCTTTCACCGACAAGCTCTCCACTCTTATATATGACTCTAGGCGTCCAATACGAACATCGTCATCATCGTACATCCGCCTTCCCGAACAGGTACCCACGATCCTGCCTTGATGAAGAGCTTCAGACGGCACGTTGCATTAGTCACCCCACAGTCAGGCACCCCGGGCCTAATTATAGCAGGATCGACGTCAGCGTACTTGCACACTTACCACTTTACGATGCTACGTTGCGGATGCTCGTACGATACTTCTGGAAAAACTTCATCGCATACATATTGGTGCGACAAGCACGACGCCTCTTTTGTATGAACGATCATGAATTCGCGCATCTCGGTACTACGGCTGCAAGTCTTACATGACGAGAACATGGTCTTACAGAATCATGAAGAGGCAACGGCAGTATTTATACGATACTGTTCCGCCGTTCTCTCGACAGCTTACATATTGCGTACTTGCCCTTCAACCAATGGGAGCCGACAACACAGTCAACATCAGCGCGGAGTAGCGTGTACAGCGCAGACAATAGAAGTGAGGTGTTCGATTCGCGAGAGAAGTAAGATTATACCAAAAGCTGATAAAAACGCTCAAACTAACGTAACGTCCAAGACATCCATACACGCGCTGCAAAACCCGTTCGCCAACTTCCTACGACAGGACTATGGCTTCTGTTGTACATGTTCACTGACAAGATCACTCCATCATGCTTTGCTACTACTGCGAGCTACCACTCATCGCACGAAATCTTTTGAACTCAAGGTATTCATTGTACTCCTCCTGCAGCTGCCTTTTGGCATCAATCTGCTGGCGTATTCGCCTTCGTCGAACCGCGATTGCGCAATCTAATGGCGAGAGATTAGCTTCGTTGCTGAATTGTGGTCAAAAGAAACTTGAGTTTGGCTAACATTCGAGAGGCTGGCATAGCCACTCGCGTATCCTCGGTGAGGCGATGAGTAGACCAATCAGGATGCCGGCTACCGCTACCACGACACTCACTAGGGTGAAGATGTCTTGTCGCGACCATCCAATTTGCGCTGGGCCGGAAGTAGTGGAGCGTTGATAATATGTAAAGTCCACGTTACGATTGGGTGGTATTGGGAAGGCTTCAATAAGAGTTGGACGAAGACTCGCGACTACAGCAAGGAGAAACATATTCGCAATCTGTAGTCACACGTGCGCCAAGATGCTTGCTTGATATAGCGGTCGGGACGAAAAGGAGAAACGGTTCTATCGTCCCGCGATATACTATCTACTGGGCCTTCGCGTAGCACGTGAGCTGGCCTGGCGCGCACTCGAAGGCCCACAACAAGCGAACGACTATGCCAAATTAGTGCAAGCGGATTACACCTTCGACACCTAGAAGTGTACATAGCGTCAAGATTGTACCAATTTCTGTTTTGATTTCAACGTCGACTTCAGGGCCTGTACAAATTCCCCCTCAAATGGGGTGTCTTGATGGTTGGCCATCTTTTCAATCGACACAGGTTGCTCACATCTCTACACCGCCATCTCAGAATTCTTGTGAACGCCTTACAAGACACCAAGAGTGCAGGGACAGCGCTTGGACACCAAGGGGAATGGTTATGTAAGCTCAGGACACTCAGTCTAGGGAATTTGATACGTCCTTGGGTAGTTGTTTCGTCTTGGAATATTATATATCTCGACTAAGCCCCTAGACAACAAAAGGCCTCTCTAGTATCCACGACATCGCCCATCATATGTATGCATCCTTGCCGCAGCTCGTCGACAGCCCCCGATCTCTAGAATCCATCTTGCAGCATTGTTTTCTCGTCCAAAAGCGCCGCTCTTCACTGCAAGTTTGAAAGTCAGAAGCCGCCCCTCCGCGTCTTTAGCAACTCGGTGTACTGATCCTGCAGCTGCAGATGAACCTTTTTGTGATCTTTCCTCTTCCAGTTCTTGATAGTCGATGGTCGATGTCTCGGCAGAGCAGCTTTCGAATGTTCTTTGTCTGGTAATGGTGAGTCTCTGAACTGCCCTACTCTGCAGGAGGGGTATGCTTACCAAGCACCCCGCGTTTGAGCCAATAGATGGGTCTGCACAGCCACACCCGGGTTTTAGGCGACGCGATGAGTACGCCTACCAATCCGATAATGACAGTGACAATTGCAACACACACACCCACCAGGGTAAGCACGTCTTGTTTTGACCAGGGCTGGCCATCGATAGAAGTGACAGTCGCATTGGTGGGTCTTCCAACAAGCGAGCGAATTGGAACGGCGAAAGCGTAGACGGGGATTGGGGCGAATAGGATCAAAACGAGCTTAGAAGCCTGCATGATGCGGGGGCCACAGTGGGGGGTAGTAATGAGGAGATGCTAGCTGGTCTGATGTATCCATTATCTTGGGGTATCGCTCAGACCTTGAACTGCGTCTGCAAAAGGAGGCTATGCAAAAGCCCCACGCCAACCTAGGGAGCAACTGAAAAGCTGGAGCCTACACTAGCGCTGGGTCAGAATTTAAGCGGACCTATCCCAGCGATGTTAAACTTCATACCTCCACCCGACCGGTGAACAGCGCCTAAATATGGGGCTCACCGGAGTCGTCTCACCATGTGGTCTTGTGTACCTAGGTAGAAAATCAGCACAATCAGTATGAAGATAGCCATAAAGTAAGATCGACGCATAGTTAATAGTGTCCAGGTATTGCTGAACCACAATTGCTACCAAATATTTGTATCCATCCGAGTATCCCTTGGCCGATAAATACATCATTCGGTGTAAAACCCAAGCACCCCTGCTGGGGGTACAGTCCTTTGAGCAGAATCCTAAACCAATCAGCGTCGCGCAATGCTGCCAATCAAGGAGACAGAGTGATGCAGGCTACATGATCGACACTTAAACAGTTCTGTAGGCTACATTATAATAAGACAAGCAAAATAGAAGATCTAGTAGCAACGTATACTCTGGAGTCTTTAGCGTTTTCCATGTATGAAGAGGTAGTATGATCGTGGCGAACTCTGGCTACATACTAAATGCAGCTGGTCGCTTGTGTCGTATCTATCTCAAGCTGTTTCGTATTTGTTACGTCGTTGACCTTCTGCGCACTGACTGATAACGCTTCATGAACAGGGGTCATACAACGCCACTTGGGCAAACATCTAACGGAATTGGGCGTCAATCTATACAGAACGAAGGCAGCTTCGACTCATAGTCCAGCATGTTCCATGCAGGCTTCTCGAGCTCTTCCTCCAAACATCTCAAACACAAATGCTCTGGTCCAAGAACGCCAAAGTTATAACCTCCAGTCTGACCCCGTGACAGAATACTCACTGCAGCCAGTCGCGCAGCCCAATTCCCATGCGCTCTAAAAACGCCAACGCCATTAGGCTCATCCAGCAACTCTTCCCAGCTATCGATGGATGTGTAGTCAACGTCGCAATCTTGGCTATGATCCCCTTTGCAAGACGTCATTGGTTTAAACCGGAGCATATCCCGAAAATCGACGTCGAGAATGTTGATGTCGCCGACCCAAACACCGCGGTCGTGGATAGATATGACGGCTTCTACTGCGTGAGCATCATGGTCTATCATGCGCGTGTCTTCGGTCGCGAGGGGGACTGTCCAGTCGGTGAAGGATAGGTGTAATGAGGTTGCACCAAAGTTGTTTTCGCGTTTGAAGTCGTATGGCTCGTGTGATACCAGCTCATAGTTGTTGCTGAGTTCGCGTATTCGTGGCTCGACAGGTGAGACGAGTATCGAAATGCCTTGGCGGCCAATGTTACCCGTGATACTTCTCATTTCGTGGTCTGCTACTGAAACGAATGGGTCGGATAGCACAACTGCCGGTACGTAAATTGTATCTTCTGAGCATAAAGCAAATGCATGGCTGAAGTCCTCGGGAACGAGATCGACCACCCCCGAGTCAAGCAGAGCTATACAGCCGAACGACTCATTCCGGTCGGGTAGCGGAGCTCGTAACGAAGTGAAAAGTGGCATTCCATCAAACCGGAGATCTGAGTTGTTGCCCTGAATCTTCCATCTGTCGAACAAACATTTGAACCACGCAGCATCCGATAGATGCAGGGTTATCAGTTTCAACGAGATTGTAGCATGGACGAGGTCGGTGTACACGTATGAAGCTGACTCCAGAGCATACAGCGATTTGCTGAAGCCAAGATCAAACTTGTGGAAGCCCAAGAACAATGACACCCCCGGGGCTCGGAGAGAGCTGTACATCGATTCTTCTTCATTGAGGTGTATCAAAGAACACATGTAATCTCTCAATCGGGCTGATTGCATTTTCGCTTCTTTGAAATTTTCTACCGAGATCGAGAGAGTGTCTATTTTCATGGTCTCGAGTCTTGCCTCTTCTTGATAAGACCGTAATGGATCGCGTCCTCTACGCGTTACACTACGCGCCTCGCTCTGGAGAAACAGGCCCAGACGCGAATCACCGAGAATAGCGTCGAAGCCGATCTCTACTTTGGCTTTCTTGGACTGGCGACACTCATCTTCATGGCGACGCGCGATGGTCGAATAGTTTGGTTGGTAGGGTAGTGGCGGATCCGCCCATCTGAAGTGAGTAGTATTCCCATCGAAGTCTGGCCGGGTTGCATAACGGATGCACAGCTCACCTCGACCGGCGATGAAATTTACTCTGTCTTCTAGAAACTTCGGATCGACGATATTCGGGCAGATCCATGTCGTATGACTGTCCGATTCGGCCTTCTGTACCGTGGCAAGTTCGTAGTAGTCGATTGCTCCAGCAAAGTGTCTATTTGAAGCGTCGTGAGCGTAGCAGATGATTGCGTCGCTTCCGTCTAGTTTCAGCTTCTCCGCTACGGCACGAAGGTAAGCAATGCCGGAGTCAGCGTCGAGCTTTTCTTGAAGTCCACACACTACTAGGGTATTGAGTAGACCAAAGAATGGCGAAGGGGTAAGCTCTTGATCAGACAAGAAGAACTTTGCTCTCCTGGTCCCGTGTTTCAACAATGTCTCGTTACGTTTGCGATCTTGATCGTTCGTAGTTAGAAGCTGACTTGCTGCCACTACAAAAGGTAGGAGCCATCCGAATTCAGAGGATTTGCCTTCTTTCACGTCTTCTTCCGACATTCCCAGTCGAGACCACAGGAGAATGAACCATTCCGCTACTCTTGTATAGTCCCGTGGACTGACCCTCCATCTCCCAAGCAGACCCCCGAAGGCGACGACCTGTAGTTGACGAAAGGTCACTCTCGAACTTTCCTGGTTGCTGCTGACTACCACAGGGGCGCCATAATATTGTAGGTGTGATAGTGCTAGTGACCATTGCACACCTTCTCCTTCCGAAGATCTCCGGTTATGCTCTACACCAACAGTGCCTACTCCAGAGGAAGGGACGAGTTTATCTTTAAACTCAACTTTCTTGGGTTCAGGTGTGAACACGATTAGATCTGGGTAGAGGTGCCACGCAGAAAACGCGACGAATACCGATCCATCGATGATGTCCTGTGGTTTACCGGACAGAAATTGCTCGACAGCCAGCATTGATCGCTTCCACACGTTCATGACTTGGTCGTAGGTTGAAGGACCCCCGGGAATTGGAGTATTGATGTTTTTAACAATGAGCGACAGTTGACGTTGCGCAAATTGTTTCGATTTGTCCGCTCTGCGAAGCCAGGCTCTTGCACTACTGTCCCACAAAGCAAGGTCTTTTCTGGTGATGTCTTGGCATGCACCAAGGAGCGAAGTGGCAGACACGTTGCCGTTGCTTTTGAGTCCTTCTTCGATCTCGATCTTTCTTGCTGCAACTATCTCTACCCATATTGCTGTAGCTACTTTCGCGTCCCAAGCGCGAGCCAATAGGCAACTGAGGAGATACACGCCCAGAGCCGGTATCCCAGATGTTGCCGCAGCCCAGAGAGTCGTAACATCTGCTCCAACATATGGCTCGAACGGTCCATGCTGACCAGCGCCGATGTCGTTGACTCCGGAGGCATTCATGATCTCCGACATTCGCCGCCCGTATGCAGATATCAGCTTTGGCGTGGATGGCACAACATCTTCGAACAAAGCCCCTAGCCGACGTGCTGTCTTATGGGAAGGGCCTTCTTCAGCCTCAACTCGTCTTCTGCTAGAAAGGCCGGAAGCAATACCACTAAACTCGATTGGCGCTTCCATTTTGACGAGGGAGAAATCGAACTTGATATTTGCTAGCGCAGCATAGTTCTCGTTGGTCGCAGAGAAGACGGACATTAGTTTGGAGGGGAGGCCCGACATCACGAGCACATCTCCGGGCCCCAAGTTGTAGTGGAGGGCTCTCGAAGAAGCTCAAGTGGAAAATCAAGCGGAAGTAATCTCGAAAGATTGAGATGGATGCGCCTCGCCAGCTGGGACGATAGGACTGATAAGAGACACAGCCTACAGTATGGGGCTGAGGGCTGGCATGGCGTTAAATTGCAGGACGTCTGTCACTGGCTGTGGTAGGAAGCTGAATGAGGGGTAAATCCACAAGCCACATCAAACCAGGGGAAGATCACGCAGCCCTAGCCATCAACAGCAGGTACAAGAAACAAGTGTTCAAGAAGTCTACACTGCGTTAAGATTTTACCAAACTCTATTTGATACTGATGCAGACTGCAGGGTGTTTGTAGCTTTTTTTGAATGTGGTGAAGCGATCTAGGCAGGTAGCGGATTTCGCACGTCGAAGGTTTCGAGAACATGATAAGCTGTCGCTTTGCGGCATATGCGATCACCAGGTAGGTAATGACAAGGCTTCGAGAGAAGAAAGCGACACGCATATGTGCAAGCTTGCATTAACAAAAGACGAGGTAGAGCTAATGGACGGTGTAGAAGTGCGGTGGTATTGGTGAACGGAAACGTAAGTGTTTCACTGTAGCTGCTCCATCTGATCGACGCAAATGTCCAGTCTACAAGTTTGCGCGGTCGATACGCTTGCCGCTTTCGTCAAATCGAATCTGCTTCCCGCTGACGAGTGCCTCCTGCAACCAAGCTCCGATCTGCACAGCCTTGACAGCGTTCTGGAACTCCAATGGTACAGGGGTGTTATCCAAGCACGCCGCGGTGAACTCATTCGCCTCCTTGACGAAGCCAGGCTCGAATCGACCCCAGTAGTCGCTGGGTACCTCTCGGGTGATGCCGGCCTTTGAGTAGTAGTTGACGAGGTTCTTCTGGGGGTTGAGGTTGACGGTCAGCTTTCCCTCGGTACCGATAATCTCGGTAACATCCTCTTGACCGTGCGTCATCATGCGAGAGGCGTAGTAGTGTGCGATTCTGCCGTCCCAGAACTCAACGATACCAACAGCGTTGTCATAGTCCTTGTGTTGCTTGAGGCCTGGCAGGATGGCGACAACACCGTTCGCGGAGATGGACTTGGGTACCACGTTGGAGCCGAAGTACCATAGAGTTAGATCGATGTCGTGCACGGACATGTCGACGAATACACCGCCAGACCATGCAGCGTACTGAACGAAGAAGTCTGGGCGAGATGATCAGTATATGGCTTATCTAGATGTGAAGTATGTCATTTCGTACCTGGGTCGGGGTGTTGCCTATCACAAGTCTGTGATCGAACAACTGTGGGTCTGCCAATAGCACCTTCCTCAATCTTTTTCGCGACGTCTTGGTAACTGTCATCGAAGCGCCGTGAGAACCCGCACATGACCTTGAGGTGCGGCTTCTTCGCAGCTGCATCGACGACATCTTGGCAGATCTGAACGCTGGTGGAGAGAGGCTTCTCGCAAAGGACGTGTAGGTCCTTCTCGATAGCTTGGAGAGTCTCCTCGGCATGTACCGAGGTTGCAGTGCCGATCACTACAGCTTCGAGACCCTTATGCGCGAGCATCTTCCTGTAGTCGTTGTAGAGTGTCACGCCGTATGGCTCGAGGTGCTCTTTGCCCCATTTGAGCTCTTGTTGATCTGGAGAGAATGCGGCGACAAGCTCAGCGCGGGGGGTCTTGTTCAAGATGTTCAAAGCGTGCCGGGCGCCCATGCGGCCGAGACCGGCAACAGCGACTTGCAGTCTGTGAGGAGCCATCTTGAAGCGATTAGAAAATGAGCAAAGATCTTGATATTTGAGATAGCAAGAAAGAGAGAGGTAGTCGAATGGAGTGAGCGCGGAGTGAGCGCTGTGAGGAAGACATTTTATACGAATTGTGGGCAGATCACTAATTCTCGTGCCTTTCGGAGGAGGTTTTCGTAGGTGTTTTGTCCATCTTCGGCTCGGCCTCTGATTGGTTAGACAGCGTTCCTATGAAGTTCGGAGGAGGTTTTCGCAATGCAATGCACGCCAGTGTGGGGAACATGCGGGCGGCGTGCTTCAAATGGGTGCCAGCAAGACTGTGCGGGGCTCGGAGGAGGTTTTGGAGCGTAAAATACGCCAGCGTCAAGGCGAAGATCCGGCAACAAGACCGTGCACGAAGAAGGTGCAGCGATGGCAAATAACCCCGCGACGGCAATTTCTTCCGCCCAGCACCTTCTCATCACCAAAGGCCGCACTTGCTTCGGCACGAGACTCCAGGCTCATGTCTCCACGTCGCGACCCCGGATAAACCGTGTTTGACGTTCGCCGCCCGCTGTTAGCTTACTGCGTAGATAACATCGGCTTCTCATAGTCGCTTCAAACTTGGCAATGGAGAGAGAGGCCACGAATGGGAATGATAGAATACTCTAGTAATACAGTGGGTAGACTTCTGAAAATGCAACACTGCACCCGACTGTGAACCAACCTTGGAACACTCAAGACCGTGCTGCCTCGAGCCTCTCGACACCCGTCATCTCAGCGAGCCTCGTACCGTCAATCGCTCATAGTGTACATGATCATACTGTTCATGCGACGGTGTCTGTTCGCCATCGCTAGCTGTGCGCGCCCAGGTACTGGCGGATTGCAACGGTGTGAAGGCATGGCCATACGTCGGATAGTTGAAATTTATCAGTTCTGAGTAAAAGTCTCCATGTCAGCTTCGCCGTCTTTTGAAGTGGGAGTGCAGCATGAGAACGCACCATCTGGGGTAGAACTGCGACGGGATCCGCTGCGCGACTTCCTCCGCTTCGACCACGCTAGCGAAGAGGCGATTCCCAAAAGGGCTACAATCACGCCAACAACACCTATGATCGCTTCTGTGGACAATTGCTTGTCTCTAGGCTTACTATCGATAGTTGCTGTATCTTCTTGGTAGAGACTTGTGTGTGGTCGATTCGGGGCAGCCTGGACAGTAACGATAAGGGCGAAAGTGCTTGCAAGAGTGTGGAAAAACATTTGTACCCGGTGTTGCAGAGGGTGAAAATAGGTTTGGGGCATCAAGCAAGATGAAGTGAAGTCAAATCTTAGAGGGCATAAGAACGAATAAAAGCCTCCAGTCTGGTTTTGTATCCTTGTTGTGCCTTGCGAGATGGAGCTGTTCCGTACGCACTGCCCCGATGCCGCCCCTGGGCGCTAAGCCGCATACGGCGATACGACACGATGACTAACGAAGACAGTGTACCTAGGTAGTTTAGTTCACCGACTGCCATGCACAATGAGACTCGCACGACCAGCCTCCCGAGGTCCTGTTCAACCGACAAGTTCTTTATTAGATTACAATCTCCTGCAAGTCTCAACCTTGGAACAATCATACCTAGTCATGACCCAAAAGATATGCCCGTGCGCCTACGATACAAGCGCTGAGCAGAACATGCTTAGGTAGTCTTGATTGCATTCCATGATCATTCACACGCCAACAGCTTCGAAGCCAATGTACTCAGGTATTCTGCGTAGCAGGTTAGTTGATACTCACAAGCTTCTACATATTCTCTACTGCATCTTCAACATGAAGCCGAGGACATCACTGTCTGCGCAGGTCTCGATGTTTCCTCTTTACTCGGTCTTACAACGCGCGGAAGATGTAAGAATACCTGAGTATGTGACGCCTGTCAGCGACATAATCGCGTCTTCTAAAGCGAAGAGACTTTCTTCATACATCAGCCAAAGAAGGCGAACAGTCTGCCCAGGAAAAGGACTGGGGTCCCTGTTGGCCTTGGAAAATCAACAATGACATGTACAGATCATCTCGAGGTCGTTGAAGACTGCAAATTTGCACCATATGCAATATTTTCTCCAAAGTCGTACTGTGTAGCTGCATAGCTGACATCCTGCGTCGCGCCCATGTTCTGAAATTCGAGAAGAACAAAGGTTAGAAAGGCGGAAAAGGTGAGAGCCGTGCATGGTAACAATGCCTAACCTGGACCTCGGGAACTTTGGAAAGATTGACGGGCCCCTATTCCAGAAGCGGTTTAGCTTACCTACGTGGGCAGTGTGGTACCTTGCAATGATCAACACTCAGTAAAACCTGGCAAATCATTCCTCCAACCAGCAACTCCCACCAACGCACACAGTATGAACGAAACACTCAGGGAACTCCATCGCGATCTTGCCAATAAGTACCGACAGCATGGCCCGCGCATCGAAGAAATGTGGCGTTCGCTCAGTCAAGAACAGCGCAAGAAGATCATGCAGGCTGGCTCTCGTGATGGCGCTGTCCTGAAGCATGCTGAAGACACGAGCCTAGAGAATGTCTACAAGTTCATTCCCGAATGGAATATACGCGACATCACTGCCCCTTCATCAAACTTCTTCCTCGATATGCTAAAGCACCGGGCAACCCTACCACTCAAAGACCAATACGCGACAGGGTTCAATGGACGTCCAGGCGATCACGCGCATATAGTTGATATGATGCAGAGGAAGAACCTACGGCTCCAAGACGCCGCCCAATACAAGAATTGTTACACGCTCTTCTTGACGGAGGATGGCTACGGCGAATCGGTCCAGATCCTCGCAGAAAAGCGGGAAGAGGTTTTGGCAAACATGAAGCCGGCCATACAAGCTCAAGTCATAGTACCCCAAGCTACTGGCGAGCTAATTCTCATGCGACAGGTGAACCTGATGCAGCTACTCAACATCAGCATTGAAGACATTCTCGATACCGCGTCTACCACGCGAACCCAGACGAAGCGCCCGAAGAAGCCAGCCGAAGAGGCGACTGCAGCTCTAGCAAAGTTGTCCGTACACTCGGCTCCAAAAAAGGCCGAACTCTCAGACCTCGTTGACATGGCTCGCGATCAGGTGTCGTCGCGTGAAGATCTCATTAGTCTGATCTCCACTGAGCCTACGCTTCTAGCCCATGAAGTCAACTTTTGCTTCTTCAGTAGGCCGGAACTTGTCGCCGACGAGAAGGGCCGTATGATGCCTGTACATACAGATAAATACATCAGCGGTGCTGTATTCGATGCCGTCCAGAACGCGGTCAAGATCGCTGCCACATGGAACTACATTGGCCGTCTCATGGATCTGCTGAAGGAGTCATCAGACAAACAGTTTCGAGCGACTATCCTCAAGGAGCTGTCGAACACTTGCCACCTGGAGTATCTGCGCGCTCAGAATGGATTCAAACGTAGTGTGGCCGTCGGCATGGGAGGCGGCAAGTGGTTCAAGCGCATGTCGACCGTACAGAAGGATGACGTTCCGCGCATCTTGCTGAAGCGAAGCCCCGAGTCTCTAACAGTAGAGAACCCGCAGTTACACTACATGCTTCGACTCTGCCAGGAGGATACAAATTGGTCCGGGGCTGCGCAATGGCTTCAGAAGCTAGAAGATCTCCATCGAGCCCATCCGCTAGAGCGAGACAATCTCTCGGAACGAGAATATGACTGTCTCGGAGACCTGGCCATCATCGTCACCTTCGTCCAATCTCTTTCGTTAGTCGCGCAATTACCCGCACCGAACCACAAGAAAAGCCAGCCATTCGTACCGGGCTACACAGCTTTGGACAAGGAGCTGAGGTCGTTGAAAGACGGTATAGACCTCGGCGAGTACGCCATTCCGATCGACAACTTGCTGGAGCCGGGCATGGCTGAAGGCGCTCTGGCAGCACTAGATCAGTATGTCGTTGAGAAGGCGGGTACCAAGCTCGGCTTTCTCTACCAGGATCTGGTTGCGGACTGCATTTCGAGTATTCAGCAACAGTACGAGCAACAAAAGTTGAAAGCTAGTCAAAGCCAAGCTGAATACAAAGCACCATTAGCTCCCGAGACCCCAGCGTCAAACATCGAGCAGCGCAAACAGAAGGAGAAGACACGACCGGCGCAAACCCCCATCTACGACATAATGCCACAAGCCACCACAGATGACCAGCCGGTTTCATCAAAGGAGACCTTCTACGTCAAACCCTCCACTGCCGCCGTATTCTCGTCGCTGTTCTCAAGATCGTCAGCAGCTCGTAGCCCAGTACGTTGGGACGCATTCGTAGCTGCCATGACAGACTTCGGCTTCACAATTGATCCCAAAGTCGGCTCGATTTACACGTTCGTTCCTCCCGAGAAGGTGTCGGTGCGCAGGGACATAACGCTTCATCGGCCGCATCAGGCGAGTATCGAGGGGCGACGTCTTTTCATCTACTCCCGGCGCTTGAAGAAGGTGTATGGCTGGGATAGCTCCACGTTCGTTGCGGAGTAGACGTAGTTGATGTTGTGTAGATAGCTATGTAGGCGAGGCGCTGAGCTCTGCTCATCAGACGATATGATCGCGACCTGGGAGCGCGATTCCATTAAAACTTTTCAATATGCAAGATTTCGATGTGTGATTGGGGTTGCGCAGCCTTCGAAAGCTCATTGCGCAAATGACATGCTATTCTGGATGTGATCTAAACATGACCTTAATGTAGGCTCCAGGGTGTTCAGTTTCTGCCTTGATTGACGTGAAGCCATGGCAATGCTTTGGCGCGCCGACCGTCTTGTTGTCGCGTCAGACGAGGGCGCCAAATTTGGGGGGCTGGAACGGCGAATTTCAAGGATCAGCAGGGCTCCTGCCGCCGGCCCGCACCCGCGCCTGCTTCTCTCCTCCAACACCACCACATTGCGATCGAGATGGACTCATATGACGCGACACACCAGCGAGAGAATTATCCGCACGCCTCAGACCATAGCCATGCATGAGCCCCCCCTTCAGGCAGACTTTTGCTACGTACCGAGCCTCAATCTGAACGGCAGTGTAATCCGTGTTCGGCTTTTTACGCCAGGAAGCCACGTCGGAAAGCAAGCCACAACTGAGGCTCGCAGTCTAGCCCGCAGGCATGGCGTCAACCCGGATCAATCATTCGCTGGGTAACACATCCAGGCGCGGGGTGCATTTCCAGCTGAGTGAATGTTTATGCGCAAGCTCCGCAAGGCAACATTGAGGCGCAGCGGTTGAGGCGCCTTTGCATATAGCTAGCCACGAAGGCCGGAAACGCGATGTACAATACCACCGCTTCCCCTCCCTTTTTACCTGAAATTATACTATAAAGAACCATGGCCGCCCCTCCGTTGACCGAGAAGCAAGTGTACCTGGCGCTCAAGGACATCTTCAGCATTGGTCCGACACCGCCTAGCACTGCGAAAAAGATTCGCAAGAATATTGAGAAGTATAGATATGACGCCAAGGTTGCGCCTCTGGTTCAAAGATATGGAGTGGAAGGTATTACCGCGGTAGCCTTCGCTTTGTCAGGAAACCAGATCTTTGCTTCAACCGAGAAAGCGAAAACACGCTTTCCTGATGTCTTTGGGGGCCTTTCGAATGAGCCCAGTCCAGTAAATGCCCCCGTGTTCCAGACTGGAACGAACAGCGCAGCGGCTGTGCAGCCAGCAGTTACCGAGTCCAGCACTGCAGCAAGTAGTGCAGCAGCTATGCAACCCGTAGGAGGGGTATATAGTCCCGAGACACTCATGGGTATCGGTGACAGACTCAAAGCCAGGAAGGAGAGAGAGAAGATTGAGACTGGTATGTGGCATCAACGTAATCTCAAGCCGTGCTGAAAAAAAGTTCAAGCAGCCTCGCACACGCAGTCGTTCGATTCCGTAGCCATACCACTCTGGGACCAGCATCGCATCCTCGTCAGAGTCCAATACACTCTTGAAAAGGCCTGCTTCGACTTTGCGCAGGAGAGGCTGGTTGGGCTTTTACATCGTGAAGGTTGGGACTGCGCAGAGGCAGTTGAACTCAATCAATGGGCCAGAACATTGCTCATCTACCGAGAAGAACTCAAATTGGACGACATGAAAGACGATGTAAAGCCTTTGCCCGGTCTCATGGAATCGATTATCCAGCTCCGACATAACGCCGTTCACCGAGTTCGCCTGGCTTCCAGTGAACTCTTACAACACCTTACCGATGCTGTACTTCTTGCGCAGCTCTTACATGACGACAAATGCGGCAAATTTCTCTCGGATATACGGCAGATGACCCATGATGCTATCGAGGAACTGGTGCGCAACAAGCAGTTACTGGACGGAAGATTGGCGGACATCAAGACAGAGTTTGCTGCAAAGAGAGCTGAGCTTGAGCGCCAAGAAGCTGCGTTACTGGAGGCTGCGGTAAAAGAGCACAAAACACCTATGGTCTCTGTCAGCGGAAGTTTGCACCGGCTGTCAGACGACCATGGTGGTACTACTGAGGAAGTACGTGCGCCATGGCTACGTGTGTACGATGCCGATCTACCCGATGATGGGTCTTCTGGACCTGAGGATACTACCAGCCAAAGCCCGGAGAGCGAGGCCACCAAAGTGATCGATGACGATGCAGATGTTATCAGCCCACCGCCCATGCATCCTGGACCTACACCGCCAGTCGACGATGTCTCGCTCGAATCAGTCGTCCAACGCAAGCATCAAGAAGTCGAGAATGATGAGGACAAGTGTCTATCAATAGTGGAGACGATTTCTATAGAGGAGCCAAAGCTCGACGATCACGAGCGCGACCAGAAGCACTCCCTAGACCCTCCACCACTCGACGAAGATGATACGGTGACAGACACCGAGGAAGCGTCGGAAGGACATGCAAAGAGTCTGGAGAAAGCCGATGTATCTGATTGGGAAGATTCCAAGTTCCAGGAGAATGATGAGGAGATCTTCTATGAGCCAAGTACCAGCCTTGTGTCTACTTGCGTCGATGAAGCTGTAAGCGACGCGTTAGAAGCACATCAAGAATCACCCATCGACGACCAAATACGAGTCATCGCCTGGGATCCGGATGGCAGCGAAAGAAAGAGACAGCGCGTAGCGTATCACATGAGGGATTTGATACTCTCACCACCGAACAACCAGGACGCCAGGGATTGCTAGAGGACCACGGACACCGTCCCACCTCCTAGCTCAGAGTCAATGATCAATACAATCTCCCAGGTTACCAACGATCAGCACCGCAGTGAGTGCATGGTTTCGTCGGAGTCGACGTGGGTGCAACGATTGATACCACTAGGACGCCTACTCGATCAAGAATACAGTAATCACCAAGCTCTGAGTTCAAATAGTCAATCAATCATCATTTCACCTTATTACATATCCTCACACACAACCCTCCTCCTCTCCCGCTACCAGAATTAATCCACTACGGAATCATTCCTTTTCTTCGCCTCTTCCTTCTCAACCTTCTTTGCCTCTTTCTTGGCCTTGCTTTCCGCTAATTTCTCTTTGGTCTTGGCCAAAGCGGATTTTGCGGTGTGCCCCACCTTTGACTTGACTTTGTGCGAAAACTTGTCTTTCGCTTTGGCATCTATGAGCTCCATTGTGGTCATCCTGTCTGGTGGAAGGATGGCATCGAAGGTATGGGCCGTGTTGACACTATTCAAGCGCGGCCTGTTCGAGCAGAGATAAGTAGTGGTATTTTTCGTCGAGGACATGATTTAGTTAAAGTATATCTGCTGGCGTGGGTGTGAAATGGTGATTGTGATGGTCTGCAGGTATGTAGGATTCGAGAGTCGAACATTTTATAGATATACCAGAATGCTCTGTCGGTCTGCCTCGAGCAGTCCACTGTGAGCGAACATGTTGATTTGAGTATATACGAATGAGACTGAAGTGCATTGTGAGTGATAGCGGTCGAAAGCATGCGCTAAATAGTCATAGTTGACGATATAAGACACTACGTTGCATTGTTTGGAACAGCCCATACTGTCTGACTCGGGAAAGACATGTTTAAGACGACACTGCAGTCGTGGACAGTGTTGTCTCATAGACTAGATGCTTGGCCAGCCGAACTAGTCCATTGTATTCCAGCTTCTAGTCGTAGTCGGTATGAGATGACTAGTCTCGAGCTTCACAGAGCTGTGACTTCGCACAGAATTGGCACCCCAATTTTCTGCCATGCCGCTCCCCGAACGTCTAGTGCGTGATTGCAAACTACCGCAGCTTGTATACATCCAATTCGCTAGTTCCTCGCCCATTCGTTCTCGACACTAGGCTGCTGGTCGCGTTCAACATGCCCTGGCAGCGCGCCATCGAGGCGGCGATTGCCCTCCTCAATAGCACGAACTGAGTCCTGGCTGTCTTCTTCCGTCTCCTCCTCGATGCGGTCAGAGTAGCGGTTACTATTGTAGCCGGGTATGTAATCGATAGCTCGTCGAGGCTCGGTGTCGCCGTTGCGCTCGTCAGCGATCATGCGGGAGATGCGTTCTGGCGCGATGCGATGCAGCCACGACTCTTTCTGTGTGGGAATAGCGATGATAAGGATCTAGGGAGTCAAATCAGCATTGGCATCTCGGAGCGCTGTAACCCCACTACGTACCTGCCAGATGAAAACCATGCCCACGACGGACATGAGCATGCCGGCAACTACTTGCTCCTCAGCCTTCCAAAACCTAAAGCAGCCATCAGCTCTGCCAGCATACGTGATCTGGCATGCGTCGGCTTTGTGTGTCTTGTCTGGGAAAGGCCATGCCATGTCGCGCGCGTTGGCTAGGCCACAGCACTCAAAGGCATCCTGGATCTGGCGGATGGCACTCGCATCCTTGTGCTTGAACAACGTCTGCCAGCGCTCGCGCAATCCGCAGTCTAATCCAGAAGGCGGCGCGGCATGAGTGCCGACGAGGGTAATGACGACCGACGAGTAGATGAAGATGAGCGTGTTCGCGATGATTACGAGTGGCGGGCGCTGGATCTCGCCGCGGCCCAGATGCTTGCGACGCTCTTGCCGACGCGTGAAGTCATAGCCGCACTCGAGCAGGAGGCCTGAGACGATGGGTAGAGCCGTAGTGAAGCCGGTCAACGTGTCGGAGATGGGCACAGAACGAGCGTTCGCGCGGGAGGCAGCCCACCTAGACGTGTTAGCGCGCTTCTAGCATCGTCGGTTACGATGTGAGTTTACCCTGCGAGCGCGGTTGCGATGACGAGATACTGGATATTGTTAGAACGAGCACGTGAAAGCTCGCACCGTATGAGACCCTACTAGCACGCTGATGCAAGTCACGACCTGCTTCCTGGTGTACGTCATTTTGCTGATGGTGACTCGGAGTCAGGCAGCCTAGTCGATGCTAGAGGCGGCTAAGCAGAGTAGTAGCAAAAGCGAAAGAATCCGTCGTGGGCGATGTCGCAGAGGCGATGGCAGACAGGCAGACCTGCAGCGGGAGATGGGAGGAACGTTGGTGCTGTATAGCTTTGGCTTCTCCGCATCCCAAGCAGGCGGTAGGTTACCGCCGTACAAGTGGGCCGAGGACCTTCTGCATCTATCTCAGCGCAGAAGATGATTACTGCTCAGTTGATGCCTATCTTTGCTGGGCGTCGCCGTGAAACGTGCAAAGCCTGAGCATGCCCTCATCGGTGAGACGCAGGCCACGGCAAGGGCAGTCCGCGGAGGACAAGCCAGCTGAAAGCGACATGGCAGGGCTCTGACTACCCGGTGACGCATCAAAGGACACGCACGCTTGCATCTGCGATGGGCTGCATCAGGCGGCTGCACACAGACGGCGTATCACCCTGGCCATGTGGTAGAGGCAGTCAATGGTGGTGTGAAGGAGTTGGGGACAGGAAGGGGCGTCTCACGTGTGATTGGGCTAGATGCTAGCGTTACCGTTGGCGGCTTCTGCGCCGGTTGATGTGAGTTCTCGATCTCTCGATCCAAACTTTTTCCATAGCGACGTCATGCCTCATCTACAATCGCACAATGCCTGAGCGGGGTAATATTCACCTCCTCGCAAACCACCCAGGAGTGTGAGGCAGCAGCAGCGCGTCTTCTCGTCAAAGGTCAGCGTGCTCCCAGCTCGTGTGACCACGGGAAGTGGCTTGCCAGTGTGTTGTCTGCAAAACAAACGCATTTGTCCACACGATCACCGTCGCCCGTATGCTAACATCATTGGGCCCCAGTGCCTAGTGCCCTTCCCGTCCTGCAAAAGCGGGGATTAACTGTTTATACACACGACTAACAATGGGTGAAAGTCAGCCTTAATCCGCGGTGCCGCCAGCGCTTTGCTTTCCTTCGTTTTCCTAATCTCGTCCTCACCTCAGCCTCGTCGTGCAACACATTCACTATCCGACATGCTGCTGTTTTCACCGCAACGATGCGACGCTCTCCTCAATCAGTCAGCAAAACAAACGGGCTCCATGTTTAGGCGTTTCTCCGTTCCGCTCTGGCCAGCCAGCCAACCCTCCATCCAACTCTCACCACGCGCACCCAAGCAGCAACAGCAACCCGCCCGTCCCTCACCACCAAGAAGAGGACAACCACCAGCAAAAGAAAATACTACCACCCAAATGTCACATCAACCCGGCACTCCCCGCTCAGCGGCCTTCTCTCCCACGCTTGGAAGCATTCCAGAAGTCTTCGAGTATGAACCTCTCGACGCCCAATTCGGTCCTGCTTCACTGAACGACGCGCCCGAGACCCCAGCGGCTTTCTTACCCGAGGTTTCCGACCTGAGTCCGCCGACGCTGACCCGAGCGACGTCGTGGCCCGCCATCATCCAGTCACCATCCCGCAAGGTCGCCTCACCTTTTGCTGTCTCCAAGGCACTGCGCAAAATTTTGGAAGCCGATCGCGTCCGACGGAGGCGCATTATGAAAGTCTACCTGAAAGCTATCGTTTTCCTAAAGTACCTCTGGCGCGCTAACGAGCGCTATGGCAATGTTATGGTCACCACCGGCATGTACATGCAACGATGACCGACGCAAGCAAAAGTTGGGATCTTAAGGCGTTTTAGCATGGGAATGGCGCAAAATGGCACGACACGATTGAATTATGATTTTATGGGTTCCGACATAGCGATTGCATTGACTGGAGGGATGCATAGCCGCTGGCGTTTGGCATTGGAAAGGCGTTATTATTCCCAGGTGAACGTTGCTACTACTATGAGTATGACTGGTATCAGCCAGCTTCTGGAGATTTTGATCGAGCACTGTGGATACAGTACTATACCAAATGAGACTGTGTCAAAAGAACTCGCCTGTGCTTTTCGTTTCTTCACGCTGTCTGACACTATTCACTTACTCTTCAGCGATAAGGTCCATTCACGATACAGTGGTTGCATCACATACTCCAAAGCGCCATAATGTTCCGCCAAACCCACTCAGACTCAACCGGCTCGCTAGCAACGATTCCGAAAGACCTTCGCCAAATCGGTTGTATGAATGAAGGCGCAGCCACCTGGTTAAACGACGCACCTTAGCCCCCGTGAGACTTTGGACAAGCCTTACGACATCTGAACGCAAAGCAAATAGCAATCGACTGGTCACACTCCCTCCCTGAGTCCAACTTATAGACACGCAAGATGTCTTACTTATGCCTCTTTGGCACTTCGCCCGCAACGTCTGGATACACGGCCGACCAAAGTTCATCATCATCATCAACTCGTTCACTATCCCCTTCTAGTGACCGAACGAGTGCAAGCTCCTTCTCGACAACCACGACTTCCAGCTCTTCACCGAAGAAACGCACGAAAACCATCGTGCACCCTCCATGTATACCTGTATGCAATAATGGCGCCCCAATCCAACTGCCTGTTACCCAAGAACGATCATCAAAACCTAGACGACCGACACTAGAAAAAGCGTGTTCTGCCTCATCGTCGGATGAGAGGCCATCAGTATCGGCGTCGAAATCGACGTCGGCATCAGCTATGCCTGTGCTAAGACCTTTGCGTCCTGGGGAACAATACGCAGGGAATATTGGTCGGTTAGATGAAAGCACGGTAACGGTCGAGGTTGAAGTCTCAAGCGAAGCTGCTAGGAAAGCTGAGAGATCGATCTGGTATATACCGAGACATTAGGGTAGGCGAATGAGGATAGATTGGCGTGGATATAGTCCAGTTTTCAGTGAAGCGGGAAGCAAGCTGATGCTCATACAAGTTACCCTAGCAAAAGCGTAAGCAAGTCTGCAGCCTACACTAATATAGAAACATGCTGAGTAGGTGATCTAACGGCAATGTAGGCTCCGGGCTGGTTCAAGTATTTCTTTTGTGTAAGGCGCATAGCTGAGTAACGGTATCTAACGTCGGCTTATTCTTACCAACAATGACATCAAAACCCCAAGTCTCTCAATCTACCCTTCCAGAATTGCAACCTTGCTACATCGCAAACATCGCTCCCTCCTCTTTCCACCCAAAGATCACCCCCATGCATCGACTCCGTACCCGCCTCACACATTTCCTCTATCTCTTTCCCCGCGATCAAAAGCCACTGTACAGCCGCCGGTACATGCATAGCTGTATTGTTGCCCAGCCTCGTACCAGGCGAGTATTCCAGTGCCATAGCTAAAGTCACACGAGACAGTCTAGTGTAGTCTGCGAGAGCTGGTGTGGTTTGAGCGTCAGGATCGTGTGCTATAAGTGCGAGGAGAGTGTTGAAGTCTTTCCATTTGATGGTTGCGACCTCAGGAGTTGCTGGGTTACGGATACTGTGAGTCCATAGCTCGGGACCTATCATGAAAACGTCAGCCATGAAATGTATAGGGTCACAGCCGGCAGCATAAAGATTTCACAAACGTACCCTGGAACTTCTCCGTAAGATGCATACTAAACCCCGGTAACTGACTCCACAACCTCTTCCCTTCAATCACAATGACCTCTCCAACCTCAATTTTGGGTGGTGGCTCAAGGCCAGGTACATCCCAGCTTCTGGCCACTGGCCCTCGGTTCACAGCATCGGGTAGTCTTGCTAGTTCAACGAGATATGCTACGAGTAGTTCCAGTTCCTTCAAACTAGTATATGATTCAGCAGCCGAATAGTAGAGACCGACGAGATCGGCTAGGGCGAAGCTGATGTCGTCTTGCGCCTCGACGAGGGAGGCTGTTGCGGAGGCAGAGCTTTCGGGCGATGTCTTGGAGGAAAGGAGCTCGTCGATGATGGTGAGCTGTTGCTTAGATGCTGGAGTGGATGAGGGGTCGGAAAGCCATTTCTTTGCCCATTCGGTCGTCATGTTAGGAGGTTGCGACGAAGTCTTTTGAGCGGACGGAAAATGTATCTTAATGAGCTGTACAGCTTTCAAAGAGCACACTGAGGCAACAGAGCTATCATCAAACTGACCATACACCCGTGTTATCCGCATCAGCCCTTTCTACGCCCTTTACTCCCCGACGCGCAGTGGTTGGACACACCAGGTCCGCCATATTGCCACTCGTTGTATGACGTCACGGGAGAGCATGCACCGGGCGCTTCATGCCAGCAGAAACGGCCACGAAGGGCGAACACTTGCTACGAAATGCCAAGCACGATATTGGAGATAAAGTGATGTCTTGGACTAGTGCAAGTTGTATAGCCGACGGAAGGCTGATCGGTCTCTCGCCTTGCGTAATGCGTTGTGACCGATTGGTTGATGCTGATTTCCGGGGTAGCGCGCATGCACGAGTCATGTTGTTCCTGCCCAGATCTTCGCCACATCGCGTCTCCAACATTCACTCCCGTCTACCCCGCAAACTTCTCCCTCTATCAGACGACGCGTCTCGATTGTTCAACATCGTCGCGAATGATGGCCTCCTGCTATCTGACTCCTGAGACACCGCTGTCGAGGAGCGTTCGGCACTTTGAAGTATAAGGGTCCTTCTCCGCGTTATCAACCTCCACCCACCCTGGGTCATTATACAGCCGAGGGAAGCTTAGAGGGGCATGCCGAACGCCTACATGCTAGCGCCACTGGTACTAACTACCGCGTGTACTACTCTGATGTCTCGAGGTCCTTCTCTCGATCTAGCTAATACCCAATGTATCTCTTCTTCACCCATCGCTCTCCATGATGCGTGCCTTTGCGCGAGCCATCTCGCGCCGCCAGTACAGTGCTCACCGGCAATTACTTAACCCAAGACACCACAGGAAGTTAGCCTCCGTCCATGGGCCAAATGTCAAAGGACTCACAGTCATTGACCACCACTACGAGTAATCGACATTCAATCTATGCGGATGCATGTAGCTAACTTCGGACCAGTGCAATCGTTGTGGGAGCCGGTGGCGCTGGCCTCAGAGCTGCTGTAGGACTCACCGAAGCCGGACTCAAAACCGCATGCGTGTCGAAGCTCTTCCCTACCCGTTCGCACACCGTCGCCGCGCAGGGTGGAATCAACGCCGCGCTCGGGAACATGACTGAGGACGACTGGCGATGGCACATGTATGGTGAGCAAGTGCGCTATCCAAGATAGCTTTGGCTAACATGCGAGTAGATACCATCAAGGGGTCAGACTGGCTCGGTGACCAAGACGCGATACACTACATGACGCGCGAGGCCGTCCCAGCAGTCGTCGAACTCGAGAATTACGGCATGCCATTCAGCCGGACGAACGAAGGCACCATCTACCAACGAGCATTGGGCGGCCAATCGCTCAAATACGGGAAAGGCGGGCAGGCCTACAGAACGGCATGTGCAGCAGATCGTACCGGGCATGCAATGCTTCATACGCTATACGGACAGAGTCTCAAGGAAGGAGTGCAGTTCTTCATCGAGTGGTTTGCGCTCGACTTGATGATGAGCGAGGGCAAGTGCGTGGGCATAACAGCGCTGAATATGGAAGATGGCACAACTCACAGAATCTTTGCCCGGAACACAGTGCTGGCTACTGGCGGATACGGAAGAGCATACTTCAGTGCAACAAGCGCGCATACAAGCACGGGCGATGGTAGCGCGATGGTTTCAAGAGCTGGACTGCCACTCCAAGACATGGAATTTGTGCAGTTCCATCCTTCTGGCATCTATGGCGCAGGCGTACGTTCACGGAGGCAACCAACCACAAAGCCTCTAGACTGACGACTACACTAGGTCTTGATCACAGAAGGCGCTCGCGGCGAAGGCGGCTATCTCCTCAACAGCGAAGGCGAACGGTTCATGGAACGCTATGCTCCTACTGCCAAAGACCTAGCATCTCGCGACGTCGTCTCTCGCTCTATGAATCTCGAGATACTAGAAGGCCGCGGCTGTGGGCCGAACAGGGATCACATACATCTCCAGCTCTCCCATTTACCGAAGGACGTCATCATGGAACGCCTGCCTGGTATCGCGGAAACAGCAGGAATATTCGCTGGCATCGATATCACGAGAGAACCAATACCGGTGTTACCAACAGTGCATTACTGTATGGGCGGTATACCGACGAATTATCATGGACAGGTGCTGGATGTAGACGCCAAGAGTGGGAAAGAAGCGGTTGTCGACGGTCTCTATGCTGCAGGTGAGGCCGCATGCGTCAGCGTTCATGGCGCAAATCGGCTGGGAGCAAATTCCTTGCTCGACATTGTAGTATTTGTGAGTACTCAAATCCTCCCAGCAACCTTGCTGCACATGCTGACCGTATCCAGGGCCGCGCAACAGCACTGCACATCTCTGCGAATCACTCCCCATCTGCGCCTCATACTCCAGCCCCCGAAAACGTTGGCCTCGACTCCATCAGCGAGATAAACACGTTCCTAGACACGAACGGAACCACACCGACCGCCGCTTTACGAAACGACATGCAAGCTACCATGCAATCCACGACGGCCGTATTTCGTACCCACGACTCATTATCCAAAGGTAACACACAACTCAGCGACATCGAGAACAAATATACCACCGACCTCCGCGTCACAGACCGGTCCCTGATATGGAACTCCGATCTTATCGAGACACTCGAACTGCGCAACCTTCTTACCAATGCTTCGCAGACGAGCAAGGCGGCATTGACAAGGACAGAAAGCAGAGGCGC